GTTACCCAGAGGTGTCTGCCTAGTTAATAGGTGTGACCTTGATAAATAGTAAGCAAAAGAAACTGAGGAGTGGTGAGATAGGTAGAAGGAGAACCAGGAGAGAGTAGTGTCATGAAAAACTAGTGAGAAAAACATCAAGGAGAAGAGGGTGATAGTGTCAAAAACTGCTCAGAGGTCAAGAAGGAAGAAGAAAATTTCATTAGATTTAGCAATTAAGAGATTGTTAGTAACTTTGGAAAGAACAATTTTGGTTGAAGTCAGACTGTAGAGAGTTAAGAAGAAATTGAGATGAAAGAAAGTAGAACCACCAATTATAGATACCCTTCTCAAGGAGTTTAGTTACAGAAGGGAGGAAAGATATGGTATGATAGCTATTAGGGCTGGATGGATCAAGTGAAGATTTTTTTGAGCATGTTGGGAGATACACGGGCATGTTTGTTGGCAGTAGGGAAGCATCTCACAGATAGGGAGAAACTGAAGATAAGTGAGAGAGTGAAGATGATAGAAAGAGAAGCAATCCGGTGAAAAAGACAAAGTGGAATGGGATCCCTTAGATTAAAATTCTGTAGAGCTATGCTCTATATGCTCGAGAATTAAATGCTCAGACACAAAGAAAAACAATTCTAATGAGGTAGAGAAAGGAGTTTTCCAGAAAAGATGACATGAATGCATGGTGAACATAGCAACCCATTTAGATTTTTTAAAAATGTGTATGCAGAAGATGGGAAGTACAGGTCAGATAACAGAATGAATACAAAAAATATGCCATAGTCCTATTTTTTTTTTGGTAGTCAGGATTAAGTGACTTGCCTAAGGTCACTTAGGCTGGCTTTGAATTTAGGTCCTCCAACTCCAGGGCCAGTTTACTTCACTCCTTAGCTGTTCTCTTTACCCTTATAATAATAATGTCAGGAGTGCAGAATGACTTAAGGTTTGGTAAGGAAAGTGAGAAGGAAAAGGGATTCTTTTTATATAGTTTTTCTGCTATACTGGGAAAAAAAGATGATTAAACAGGACTGCTAATCAAAATGTACAGAAAATGAAACAGTTGGAGAAAAGGAAAAACTACTCAACTTTTTTCTGTTTTCTTTACCAAGAAGAATGATCTTTGGATCCGAAAAACAAAGCAAAATTAACTTAAACTTGATAACCAAGTTAAGCAAGGAAATTCTAAAAGTACACATAATTGCTTTTGATGAGTTCAAGTCACCAGCTGAAATGAACTGCTCTTCAGGGTGAACTAGATCCCATCTTCATGTCACCATGTAGATGAACTGTATCCCATTTTAGAAGCAAGAAAAAAAAGGTAGACATGACTGCTACACTAATCAATGATATTTGAAAGATCTTAGAGACTAGAAGAGATCCTGCATAATCTGAGAAGGCCAAATATTATAGGGATTTACAAAAAATGAGAGAATGAAGTCTGCAAACTACAGGTAAGTGAGTTTGACTTTGATTCGTGGCAAAATTCCAGAACTGTTATCAAAGCTAGTGAACATCTAGAAAAGAAAACATCGATCATGAACAATCTACATGGTTTAATCAAGGACAGGTCATCCATTTCTGTCAGCATTATTAGGCTTTTGTATTGGAGGAATGCTATAGATGCATCATTTACTCAGGTTTTAGAAAACCATATGACAAAATTTTTCATACTACCCTTGAAGACAAGCTAGAGAGATATAGGCTAGATGATAGCACAGTCAGGTGGATTTAGAACCAATTGAATGCCCCCTACCTAAAGAGTAATTGTTAATATTTTTATGTTAGCTTCGAAGGTCTCTAGTGGAGTACCTCAAGGATCAGCTATGTGTACTTAGCATTTTTGTCATTGCCTTGGGTAAGGAGATGCATGGCATGTTTTTGAAATCTGCAAATGACACAAAGCTAGGAGTAGTAGTTGACATGTTGAATGAATTAAGATTTTGAACATGAGGACAAAAATGATGAGGTTTAATTTTATAAGGGTATATGTAAATTCTTATACTTGTATTTTTTATTTTTATTAATTTATTTTGATTTATCAACAATCACTTCCATAAGCTTTTGAGTTTTAAATTTTTCTCCCCCTCCATCCCCACCTCTCTCCCCAAGATGGTCCACAATCTGATATAAGCTATACATATACATTCTTATTAAACATATTTTCACATTAGTCATGTTGTAAGGAAGATTTAGAACCAATGTAAGGAACCACAACAAAGAGGAAACAAAACAAAACAGAAAAAAGAGCAAATAGTATGCTTCAATTTGCAATCAAACTCCACAGTTCTTTCTTTGGATGTAGATAGCATTTTCCATCATGAGACTTTTGGAGATGTCTTAGATCCTTGCATTGCTGAGAAGGGCTAAGTCTATCAAAGTTAGTCAACACTATTTGTATTTTTTTAAAAATCAATTTCATAAGTATAAGATAGGGCAGGTCTTTCTACTTAGGTATATTATCTGAAAAAGATCTTTAGACTTTAGTAGACTGCAAAGCCAATATGATATAATAGTGTGATATGTTAGGTAAAAAATGGCAACAGAAGTTGAGGCACCGTAAAGAAGTGAGTGGAGTATGGGAGTTTGGAATACCTGTGGTTTTTAACTCCCTTGGTTTTTGTGAGGCTCAAATTCAATGGTCTATGTAAAGCATTTTGCAAACCCTAAAGTACTATATAAATGGCTGCAAATATTATTGTAGTACTCTGTCATGTTCAGGCTGTGTCTGGAGCCTTGAAGTATGTAAGGGCTAGGAGGGGTATGTTCTCATAAGTATGTGATTTGGGTTATATGCATAGAAGCCAGGGAAGGAGACTGAGGAGGAGCAATCAGATCCATAACAGGAAAGCTGTGTAGCTTAATGAGGAGAAAGGGTCAAAGGGAGAAAGTAATTATCAAGGACCAGTTGTCAGAAGTGTTGTTGAAAGTGAATATCTGGGAGAACACAACAAACTCCATTTTGTTCTTTATTAGCCATCTTGCTCTATATGACCCCTGCACGAACTACAAGACCACCACCAGCAGCTGGTTTCCTTCAGTCTTTTCTTTCCTTTTCAAATGGGTACAGAAAGACTTAATTACTAAAGAAGGAGGAGTCTCTGGAATGTCTCCCTCCTTTATCTAACCTGACAAGTAGTTCCCTTTTGATTTAGTGGAACTAGCTGTACAATGACACATATCTTATCTATCTCCTGAGGCTAATGATATATTTTGTTTAGCAAGTATACTATTCTTTTCTTTGTATGATCTGCTGCATTATAACACAGCTGATAATTTTTCTTAGTTTCATATAATGTATAAAATTGCTTGCTGAATTGTGGATGATGCCATTCCCTATCAACTGCTGGTAGGGCAGGCCTCACACCTTAATAAAGCTTGTCTTCTGATTTTTTTCTGGCATATTGATGATAACTAGTGGAATTCATAAGAAAATTCATGCTGTAATGTCAAGTGCTGCAAAGAAGTTAAAAGACCTGAGCTCTGAAAATAAGCAATAAGGAGGTCTTTGATGACCTTGGAAAGACCAATTTCATTTCATAGAATAAGGGGAATTGAAGCCAAATTGAAAGGGTTTAAAGAATGATTATGTGGCAAGGAGGTGGAGGCCATGAGTGCAGATTGTTTCTACTCCAGTGAAGGCTAGAGAGATATGATGACAGATTCAGAAGGGGCAGGGAAATTACTTCCTTCCTTCTTTCCTTCCTTCCTTTTCCCTTTCCTTCGTATTGTAATCCAGGAAAAAGTGGTCAGTAGAGAGGGGGAGACTGAAGATACATGAGAGAAATTGGGGATGATTGATGAAGTAAAGGTCAAACTGAACCTACGAGTGGTTGCGACCAACAGTAAAGAGGGAGTAGTTAAAACCGTTAGGCTTGGCAAGTAGGAGGGCCACTTCAACCCCTCATATTGAGTGGTGAATGAAAACATTGAAAGCTTTAGGGGAGTGAAAAAAGGAGGGAAGGATTACTGAAGCGCTCAGCCTTCTTTTTTGCACGTAGTTGGTATTTAATAAACGCTTGTTGAACGAATGAATGGCTCCTATGGTCTTAGTAAAAGAAACAAGGTCATTTCCTTCAAGTAGTATTGGTAAAGCTGGGGAGTTAAGAGATCTGGAATAGCCAATGTGATGGATTCGATTCAATAAGACATAAATAAAAGGGTTGTCATGTAGTGGTACTAGGCTCAGTTGAAGTCAGGTAGGTATGAAGCTGTGGTGATCCTAGTCAGGCTCGGTTCTGTGATTTCTTCCAGAACTAATTTTCACTGTTTAGGAATAGGAGCGGACAGACGCCAGACTGTTGTAACCTGGGGTGAAATAGAAGGAAAACAAATGAGAGGACATTTTCTCCAGGATGCAGCTGGGAAAGCACACAACTGTAAATTGCTAGAATGGCTCAACTGTTAGCTTGGAAGGATGAAGAGAGCGTGGTTGGCCAGCACCGAAGGAATTAGATTGGTTTCAGAGAGCTGGAAGGGCCCTTAACTCTACAATCATATCCGACCTGACACTTACTACAAAGTGTTATAACATCCTTGCACCAGTGAAACTCAGACCTCAGTGCAGTACTTTTCCCCTCTCGTAGAGGTGAACTTTAATGAACAATAAAAAAAAAAAAACACTCATTAAAGCCACTGGGGTGCCACAGAAGTCAGCAATCTCAAGAGTCCGCCCACCATTTTTCTTTAAAGAATTGTCAAAGACACTGGACTGTGCCAGTGGGAGGAACTGGTCTGACCCACCTAAAACCACGCTTCTCTAATTTTACTGACAACAAGCCCCGCCCCTAGAGCCAATCCCTCCTCCCCGCTGGCTGGGTAGACTGGCTGAGGCGGGGCGGAAAGTTCGCGTGACGAGACAGGGGAAGGCCTGCAATTGGCGGTGACGGAGGGTTTGGGCGCGACCAACCCCATTGATTGGTTGAAGGGCGGGGCCTCAAGAGCTGGGACATCTACGGCGGCTGGTGGGGATACGGGGGCCGCTGGCAGTGGGGGGGTGTGGGCAGTGGGTCGGGGACCGCGGAGGGGTGAGGGCTATCGCGGCGGCGGCTGCGGGATGGAGTTCAGCTACCGGTTCCGTTAAAGACTGGCATCGGCTGCGGCGGCAGTCGAGAGAAGGAGGGAGCGGACCATGAAGGGGGCTCTGGGCAGTCCAGTAGCCGCCGCCGCAGTCGCCACCTCCGTGATGCAGGAGAGTTTCGGCTGCGCGGTGGCCAACCGCTTCCACCAGCTGCTGGACGACGAGTCAGACCCGTTCGACGTCCTGCGCGAGGCCGAGCGGCAGCGGCAGCGGCAGCAGCAGCAGCAGCGCAAGAAGCGCGACGAGACGGCGGGAGCTGCGGGAGGCGGCGGCGGCGGCGGGGGCGCGGGCCGGAGACCCGCCTCGGCCGGGGCTGCGGGCCTTAGACTGAGTGGCGGCAGCGGCGGCGGCATAGGCGGCATCGGCGGCGGAGGCGGCGGCCGGAGGGAGTCCCAGAAAGACCGCAAGATCTTCTCCTCCCCCTTCTCCCAGCCCGACAGCTTTGGGGGAGGCCCGCAGCCGCCCGGTACGCCCACACCCCCTCCCTCCCGGGCTAGCTGCGGGAGCTTTGTACAATTTAATTTTTTTTTCCTTTTTTAGTTAACAAAAATCTGCCCACCCTCTTCCCTCTCCGCTCCCCTCCCTGGTGGAAAGAGAAAAGCAAAATAAGCCTCGTAAACAGATATGCATAGTCTAGCAAAACCTCCCGCATTGGCCGTGTCCAAAAACGCAGCTCTCGTTCTGAGCACGGAGCCCGTCGCCCTCCCAGGCCTCTGGAATCGTGGTCCATCCGAGTTCTTAACTATTTCAAAGTTGTTTGTCTTTCCAGTGTCGCGGTTACTTCCTATGTGCTTTTGGTTCTGCTCACTTTGCAGTGCATCAGTTCAAACAAATCTTCCCAAGGTTTCTGTGAAACTCACCCCGGTCCCCTTTATCGTTTCTTACGGCACAATAGTATTCCGTTACATCTTTGTACCATGATTTGTGCAGCCATTCCCCCTTTTGATGGTCACATCCTTTAGTTTCCCCGTTCTTTTCCACCCCACCCCCATCCCCCACGAGAGTAACAGGGAAATGTTGTGGCTGCGGTGGAAAGGTGATGATAGGAGGAAATTAAGAGAAAAATGGGAAAGAAGGAACGTCATCTCGGTCCTTTCTCCCATTCCATTCTCCCTCTCATCCCTCTGAAAAGCTGGGGGTTGGGGGAGAGTCTAAGGTGGATTTGGAAGGATAGCAGGGTGAGGTGTGGAGGTAAGAGACGCAGGCTATGTCTGGAATATCCCAAAGGAACCCCCCCCCCCCGAATTCTGCCAAGGATAATTTGGAGGAAAAAATTATTCCTTTCTTTTGGTTTAAATGAGGGGGAGGAAATAGACAATTTCTTCCTTGGGAGGTAGAGAGAAAAGTAGCCCCTCGAGCCTAGGATGCTGGATGGGGGAAAGGAAGGAAGGAGACATTTAAGACACTGTGGGCTGAAGTGAAAGCCTAGATTATCTGGAGCAACCTGGTAATGATGGTACCTGTTAAGTATGGGGTAATGGAATGATGTAGAGCGGCTAAGTCCTGTGTTGAAAAAGGAGGAGATAGTAAGGGTGACATTAAAAGTATCCTAGATCGATCTTAGGTAGCGAATCACCCGAGATTGATAACCAGTACCTAGTTTGATACCTAAGATTGAGAACCAGTGCTTGGCTGATTTGTTATGGTTGTGCATCTGAGCTGAGGCACAGCCTAGAGTTCACTAGAGTGCTAGGTAAGCATTGGGGGGTTTAGTATTTAAATAATCTTATGCAAGTTTTCTATTGTCATCTGGTATTAGATAAATTTCTTACAGTTAACTGACAGCATTTTTGGTTTTGGATTTTAAATTTGGGATTATGTCAATCTATTGCTGATATATTAGAGAGATTGCACTCCACGAGAGTGTATTCAAAAATACTTTTAATGTTGTTGGTAGAGATGCCTCATTTCTTTGTGTGGAGTAGAAAATCGAGATTCCAGGTTGGCGTGCTAATATTTCTGCTTGGTAAATGTATTTCATTATTTCGCCTTGCCACCTGATAATGTGCACTGATTGATGACCTTTAACTCTGCAAGACAACCAACCACTTTTGCCTTCTTCACAATCCAATTCAGGTAATGGCTGTGATATTTGCATTAAGCTACTACTTTATTTGCTTTCTGTTTAAAATGAGAGGATTTAATGTGGCAGTCTCTCAATATGAAAGAAAGTGAAGTGGAGTAGATTTTTCAATTTATCCATTTGCAGTCATGCTGTCTACTTTGCTGACCCTACGTTAATTTGGGTAAGGAATCATATATCAAGAGCACTGAGTCGTTTGGCCTAATTTAAACTTTAAGAATTTGACTGAAGGCACTAGATAATAATAATGAATTACTTTTACCTGTGAAATATAATCTAGAACTACCATTTTACTGTTAGTAACACTGCTTTACAAAACTGTCTAAATGTGTCACTAAGTATTTTTAGCATGCCAGTTAAGGATGACATTTGAAAGCTGTGTTTAGGTACTATGCTGTTTTGCTCATATGGTTCCTTTGAGGTCCTCATCAAGTGATTAAGTAAAATTTTGCTAATGTAGATTTTTTTCCCTTGATTAAAAACATTTTGTTTCACTTTGGGTTAATCCTTTATCTTACTCTATATGTTATTCCAAAAAATGAAGATTTGTGTTCTTTGCCCCCTGGTGTTAGTATGAAACTTTATGTTTAGTGGTATCTAACTAATATGATTATAATTATTTTAAGTTCCTAAATCAACTTTTAAAAAATCACTTTAACAGCTTTGGTAGTGTCTTTTCCTCTGTCTAGGAAATTTTTGCTACTCTATTATTACTTTCAAATTCTTATGAGATTCATTTTAAAGAGTTTTGGTTTGCTTTAGTAGTCTAAAGGCTTTGTGTTCCTTTAGGAATATCTTGGGTTCTAAGAACAAATCAAAGCATTTTTTCATTTTTGTGAAATTACTGTGTTAAGCTTCTGTGTAATAGGTATGAAAATGCAAGTCCCAAGTTTATAGCCCTGGAATATTATTAAAAGTATCAGGTGTTGGGCTTTATCTCTGAATTTTCACTCAAGTAGAACATTATTTGTATGTAAAAACTTAATGTGTACAAGAAATCACAGTTCAAAGGATTTGAATGATTTAGTAGATTATTAATCGGAGAATGTCTTAAAAATCATAAACAGATTTTTCCATTGAAAATGCCTAATGTTTCCTTCTTTTGTTTAAATAGCTGATCATGTATTGAGGTAATAAATGTAGACTCATGTAAGTGGACTTTGTTTCTGGAGGTTATCAAAGTTCTTGCTTCAATCCTAAATTCCTTTAGTCGCTATAACTACAAATAATTCCCTGAAACGGTCCTTAAACTAAAAACTTGGTGCTTGCCAGGTAATTGTTGTAGATGCTATTTATTTAGTCCCTTTTATGTGAACTTGCTTGTCTTATTCTTTGATCAGTGATCAAATTGCAAATGCCAGCCCTTTATTGAAAAAGGCTGTGAAATGCAAGCTTTGCATTATGCATTCACAGTTGCTGATCCAGCATAGAGAAAGGAGCTGGGTTCTGCCTCAGTTGACTCATAATATGGTATTTCCAAAACTGGAACCACCGATAATACACATCTTTTACAATTTTAAAGGCAGGAAGAAACCATTACAATACATAGTACTTCAGTTCAGAAAAGGCAAGCACTTAAGAGAATGAACAAGGTTTTTGGCAAAGAGGTCTTAGTAAGGACAGATATAAAAGTACATGATTCTTCATTTAAATTAATTTATTCTTACTTGATAGCTTTTCAAATATATTGGAGTGGCTTATTTACTAGCTGTGTGACCCCGGCCAAGTCACATAACCCTTCTTCATTCTGTCTGTCTGTCTCTCTCTTTCTTTCTTAAGTGTGCATGCGTACAAACACACACACACACACACACACACACACACACATATTAAAGTGGGAGAAGAGTATTGTCTCAATTCTTGTGAGGAATTTACTAGCCAAGTGGTATTTTTAAAAATCATAGTTAATTGACTCCCTACCTACATTTAATTTTTACAATGCATTAAAATGGCTTTGAGTTTATTTATGTTAAGAAAAATTCGTATTATTTAAGGGTAGAATGCTTTTACATGTCTTATGTTCTTAGTATTCACATGTCTTATGTTCTTAGTATATGTGATGATGACTGTTCAAAAATCAGTCTTCAATTTAAAATTCATCTTAGAACAATCTTTGATTTTCCTACTTGTTAATTCATTTTGATAATCATGCTTACCTTCAAGGGTTATAATTTCAGTCTACATGGTATCCCTTTATGTTTTAGCAATATGCACCAGAGGAGCTAGCATTGTATGCAGTTTTGGTCTTCTCAATATTCTCACTAGGCTTTTCATCATTGTTCTCACTAGGCTTTTCACCAAAACTGTAATACTAAATTTATGCTAGCAACATTTCTTATGGAACAAAATAAGTCATGAGCTCAGATTATAATTTTGTTGCAAGATAGGAATCTGTTTAAAGCATTTTCATGAATAAGGTGTATTACAACCATTGAATTTAAATCTATGGTATATCAATTTCAATATGCTAGTTACTATTATAATAGCAGTATTCCATATTTTAACATCAAGAAATTTTATTTTTTGGACAGGGACTTAACTTGCCTCTGTTTTCAGTGACACTAAGTATATGTTTGTTTTTTTAATTAAAATTGAATCTTATAATTTATTAGAACTGTTATTTTCATATCTGGTCTTTAGAGTTTTACATGGAACAAGTTAATTTATAATCAGATTCTCATTGAAGTGCTTTCTGTGGTGTGTAATATAAATATCATTGAGAAGCATTCTAATAGTTCAAAATAGTTAACCATAATATTAAATTTTTATACCCACAAATCCTAATAGAAGAAAAAATTATGTGTAATTAGAGCTGAATTAAAAGATATGAATAGAAGAGACATATTAATCAATGAACATTCAATAAACTTGACATGTAAAATAAAGCTTTTTATTTCTTTAGCCTATGACTTGTTAAGATTAGATGTGTTTTTGCCTGTTTTTCTGTTCATAGCTGTCAGCTGAAAGCCATCTTTGAATAAAAGAATGGAATAATATGACTTTTCAAAGTCCTTTTAGTCTTTTGAATATGTGAAATGGCAAACTCAATTTCATGTATAAGGAACAGAATTCACATATGTGAATTTCATTGAAGACCAAAAAACTTAATTAAAAATAGACAGTAATTACAAATAGAATAAAAATATTTACTGGTTTACCGGTAATTTTAGTTATTCTTAATAGTTGTAATCAACATGTAGTTGGGTTCTACCTACTAAGAGTATCCTTTATGAAGTACAGGAAGTCAGCCATAGTCTGCACAGTATTTTGATTTGCCTGCTCGGAATGAACTCTGGCCATCATGGTTTAGTGGTGTAAACTAATGAAATAGGGTGATTTTATTGTTATTGCATCAGACATACTTATTAAAGCATGGATAAACCAAGGAATTATTATAGTTGGTTAAAGAACTCTATACAAAAGTATTGGTTTGTCTTGTGGCAAATTGGAGAACATAACTGAAAAAAAGTTTTAGAGAGTTTAGTTTGAACCTGTAGTTTCATTGGTGTGGGGAATTCTTTTTGTGGAAACTTTCTGTGGATACAAATAGGCAACCCATTTCTAGCCTACAGTCTTAGAAATTTGCCTGGGACACTGAGTGATTAGGTGATTGACTTGTGATCACACAGATACTGAATATCAGTGGCAGGACTTGAACCCAAGTCTACCTGACCGCAAGTTTTCTTGAATGGTGTTCACTATGCTATGTTCCCTGTCAAGGGGAAAGATGTCATTTAATATTCCTTCTCAAAGTAAAATTCAGTACTGCTTTGATGTAGTTATTGTGTTGTGACATTATCTTTTTCAAATTTCAGGTCAAAAGCGAGCTGCTAAAAGAGGAGAGCAGCAGGCATGGAATGATAACCGAGGAGCAGATGTAAAACTGGATAAGACAGAACGAAGAACTTATAGGGAATATCGACCCTATGAAATGGAGAGACAAGTGGAGTTTACAGTGGAGAAGTTTACAATTGGAAAGTATGTACTATATGACTTAAGGTGACACAGGGGTGGGAATTTGGGAAAGGGACTTAACAATACAAGTAGCAGCTCAGTATCATCTAAACTGCACTGACTTTCAGCGTCATTTCTTGCTGCTAACAGTAAAGTCAGTAGGCATTTTGTGCCTTTTTATATGCCAGGCACTGTGCTAAATTCTGGGGCTACAGAAAGGCAAAAAAAAAAAGTGCTTGCTCTCAAGAGCATCACAGTCTAATGGACAAATAACTATGTATAAACAATAATATGTAGAATAAATTGGAAATAATCTCAACAGAAAGGTACTAGCATTAAAGGGGACCAGGAAAGGGTTGTTTTGTTTTGTTTTGTATTGTTTTTTCAGAAGGTAAGATTTTATTTTAGACTTGAAGGAAGCCAGGGAATCCTGGATACAGAGATGAGGGAGAGAATTTCAGACATGAGGGAGCAGAGCCAGGGAAAGTGGAAGGAGTAGAGAAATGGAATATGTCATGCAACGAACAGCAGGGAGGCCAGTGTCGCCAGATCATAAAGTACATGCCAGAGGAATAAGGTGTAACAAGACTGGGAAGGTAGGAAGGGCCAAATTATTTTTTTTTGGAAATTTATTAATTTTATTAATTAAGACTTCAACAAAAGTGACCATAAGAGTAGCACTTACTAACCCATATGCTTACTTTCCCATATATATGTATGTATTTTTTTCTTTTTTTGTTAATTAGTTTATTTATTTTTGGTTTTCAACATTTACTTCCACAAAATTTTGAGTTCCCAATTTTCACCCCATCTCACCCCTCCCCCCACCCCAAGATGGCATGCATTCTGAATACCCCTTCCCCTAGTCTGCCTTCCTTTCTATCTCTCCCCCTCTTCTCTTATCCCCTTCCCCTTCAATTTTCCTGTAGGGCAGGATAGATTTCTGTACCCCATTTCCTGTATTTCTTATTTCCCAGTTGCATGTGAAAACATTTTTTTTTTAAACATGTGTTTTTAAAACTTTGGGTTCCAAATTTTCTCGGAAGGGCCAAATTATGAAGAGCTCTGAATTCCAAACAGAGGATTTTATATTTGTTTTTAGAGGAGACAGGGAATCATTGGAGTTTACTGGATGAGGGTTGGGGGTAACATGGTGATGGAACCATACTTTTAAGATGATCACTTTGATAGTAGAGTAAAGGATGGACTGGAATAGGGAGATGTTTTGAGACAAGGGCATCTAATATCAGGCAATGAAAATAGTGTTGGTGGGAGGTGATGAGGGGCTGGACACCTGAGTACTCCCAGAGTCAGGGAAGAGAAGTGAGCATATATGAAAGATACATGAAGGTAGGATTGAAAAGATTTAGCTACAGATTGGGTGGGAGTGGTGGTGAAGGCAAATGAAGAGCTGGGGATTACAGACACCAA